AAATTTACAATTTTTAATTATAAACCTGTGTTTTCTATCAAAATTACTTCTTGCGTGAATTTTGGGACACCCTTTACAAGTTAGTGACATGTTTTTCAGTTTTAAGAGAAAATAAAAAATTGAAAAGGAATAAAGGGAACAAACACCAAGGTACACAATCACGAAGAATCAACAATTGTTGACACTGTTTATTTAAACTAAATCTTTTCAGATGACGTTTTAGTTTGCTTTGTTGTTCATGTCTAATCACATTACTCTCTCCACCTCAGAGAAAAACCACTATAACTAATTTAATGTGTAATATTTCAGCCTATTATTTTATGTGCATAAATCATATTGATGTATGTTGTATGCATTTTTATACTTCTATTTTTAAAAAGTTAGATAAGTACTACAGATTTTATATATTTTGTTTACTCTTTTATGTTTAATTTTATACAGTTGTGCCCTATCTATGTTGATTTAGTACAATCCCTTTAACACTAAATGTATTTTATCATATGAATATACCATACTTTATTTATCATCTCCTTGATTCAAGGGTGTTTAGTTAATTTCAAGTTTTCTTTTTTTTTAAGGTATGTTTTTATTGACTTCAGAGAGAGGAGGGAGAGGGAGAGAAAGATAGAAACATCAATGATGAGAGAGAATCATTGATCGGCTACCTCCTGCACACCGTGCACTAGGGATTCAGCCTGCAACCTGGGCATGTGCCCTGGACCGGGAATTGAACTGTGACCTTCTGGTTCATGGGTTGAAGCTCAACCACTGACCCACACCAGCCAAGCCAAGTTTTATTGATCATAAAGAACATTGCAGTACTTGTTTGTGATTTAACTTTTAGCTGGAGTTATCTTCCTCAGGAGCCCCACTCACACACTGACTGGGTCGTAGAAACTTCCTGTGGAAGGTTATGACTGAGCTCTGTGGGTTTACTAGCTTGAAAGTGGGGTTTCTTGTTGTTATTGTCTTGATTCAGATTTCCCTTCATATTGAGTCCTGTGAATTTGGGTCCTGAGAGTAGTGTCTGAGATCCCATTTTCTTTGTTTCTTCACTCACTGCCTGGGACAAAAGTGAGATTCCTGCTGAGAATTTGTACTGAAGGGTGACTTTCAGTTCTGGCCACATGATGTGCCTCTCTTCCCAGCTGCCCGCTGCCATCAGAGCCCAGGCCCTGGAAGGGATATCTGGGCCCAATATGCAGGGGAGCTGCATAGGAAACTCTGATTGGCTTGACACCTAGAGCGTTACAGAAAATATTAAAGGAGGGCGCTTTCAGTAAGTTTGAAGTATACATTTAAGAAGGCTAAGAATGAGGTGTTTGAAACTGCTAAGGCTGGCAGAACCACTTTCTGAGAAAAACTGAGACCATGAAGGGCACCTTTGGCTTAGTTAATGCACCTCTCGGGGCTGATGCTGCAATATTAAGGGATCATAGAATTCATGGGGAAGGAAGGAGAAAAAACAAGCAAACAACAGTAGGACTTGTGAAAGCATTCTGCAGGACAAGAAAAAGCAGCAACATTTGTATCCAGCAGTCATACAAGAAAAGCATACTTCTGAAAATGAGCTACTGTATAATTCAGAAAAATAATTCAGAAACATGGTACCTTTATAAGAAGACATGATTTATAGGAAAGAGGCCACAGATCAAGTAAAATTAATGCAGTGAAACCTGGATAAGTCTGGAGAAAGAATTGAACCTCAAATAGAGGTAAGAATAAAATGCAAATCCTGCAAATTTCTAAGCAGGATGAAACTCGCAACAATTTTAGAAAAATAATGGAGTAATGCTTCAGAGTATTGGAGAAAGGTATGACCTAACTTTACATATAACCGAGGAGTTTTTCACTTGCAAAATCAACAGGAAAACATTTTTTTAGTACATGCTCACATAATGTATACCACTTATTTCTTTTCTGGAAAAAAAATTGTATGAGCACATCAACCAATCCAGAGAAGAAGCAAAAGACATCACACACCTGGGGAGAAAAGTTGAGAACAATGGAATTCAACAAACCAGAAACAAATTTAACTGTTAAAAATCTAGTTATAAGATTGAATGCTAATTTTACTGTTATTAAATACAGATGTTATTAAATACAAATTTAATAATGACTTAAATTTAAATCCTTACATTACATTAACAAAGCTCAAGAAGTAGGTGGATAGTGAGAGGGTAAGAGGAGAATAATATGCTAAAACACTTTGCCATGGAGGAGTTGAGACTCAGAGGTTCTTAAAATTAGGGAAATGTAGGTTAACATGATTTTGAAATATATAAACATGGGCACAAATAAAATTAAGAAGATGTTACATTCTCATGAAAAGATTGAGAAGATAAAAGCAAAATCTGAGAGGCGATAACTGCCCAAGGAACAGAAACAGACACAGAACAAAATGTCCAAAATGAAACTAATTATAGTAATAAATATTAATAGGGTAAATTTTTCTAGTGAAAAAGTTATTGATTAGCTGACTCAAATC